ACTGGAAGCCTGCTCTCTCCCGACTGGATCCCGTTGGCACCACCTAGCTCTCTTATTAATTATTATATATTTGGGAATCGAAGATACGAAGGACTTTCAAGGACTGAGATCTCTCACGGGATGCGCAGGATCGAAAATCGAGACTCTCGGCGTAACGCTGGGATTCCTGGAAGGGAAGTGCAATGCAGAATTATCTCACAAGTGGGATTATCTGGCGGTGTAGATAATTATTTACGAAGCTGACTGAGCTTCATTAAGAGACTAATTAGGAGGGTGTCGCTATATAGTCCACCCTATAGGCGCGCAACGCGTAGAGCGCGAGTACTCGCTAGTTACGTGAAGACGAGAGTCTGGAAATTAAAAATTGGTCAATCTTTAAGGAAATATGAAGGGTCGCTCTAAGGAACCTCGAACACTCTACAAGGTGGATTTGTATAGAGATAATTCAAAAGTCTACGAGTCTTGATGAAAGAGCGAGATGGATAGATAGACAGAGAGAGAGAGAGAGAGAGAGAGAGAGAGGAGGCGCTCCGGGAAAAGCACGTGGCACATGGTGGGAACGCGCGCCTCTCAGCTCCCGCGCGAGGAGACTCTATATCTATCGAGCTTTCCACCCTCCCCGCCACTTGTTGTGCTTTACTGTGTTGTGTTGCCTGGCCTGCCTTGTGTATCGAGAAAGCTCAACGCCGGCTAGACGATGTTTCCCATCCCAGTCCACCTACGAAGCCACCACCCTCGAATCAACAGGCTTCGCCGTCCCTGCCGCCGCGTTAACGGGGACAGGGACAACGGTGCCGCTCGTGAGGAAGTGCACGAAATGTGCGCGAAATGCACCCGCGGACGAATTCACAGAGGAAATAAGGAACCAGACCGCTCGCTCCTGTCCTTCCCGCTCTTATTTAAAGGGACAGAGTGAAGCTGGCGATGCTCTTGCACGTGCTGGGCCCTTTTAAAGTAAATCGTCCTAAAGGGAACCTACGCCGAATGAGACATCCCAGGATTATTTAACGTAACGCTGAATGCTGAATGCCGAATGCCGAATGCCGCGGCCGATTAAACTAAAAGCACGGGAGTCGATC